GCGGCAAGCAGCAGGAACCTGCCTCCACGGTGCCACCGTCCGTCACCTCCCAAAATCTTTCGACTTTCCCAGCTGGAGCCAAGTGTCATCCTCTAGACCTTGAGAATGAAGGCCAGTCCCTTCTTCTTGCTACACGGTGGGGTGGTTAGAACTCTCCTCATTAACAGTGTTATATACATATAAATATATATATATATCTATATCTTTATATATATTTTTCCCCAGCACTGTAGACATGAGCTGAACTTCTCTTTAACGAAACGAGAAAACGGCCGTTTTATTTTTTGCCATTGGTTTGTTTTTGGAACTAGCTCTGTGAAAGAAAATTTTAAAAGCGCAAGAGTGTGTGTAAAAGAACCGATCAAAAAAAAACAACCCACCAAAACAACCCAACAAATGAATGAACAAAACCCAGTGATGAAAAAAAAAAAAAAAGCTTTTTATTTTTTCTTTTCTCAATGTATTTAACTTCTGTTATCTCGTTTCTGTTTCTTTACATGTATGAATGCTCTGCTCTTCTGTGATCTTAAAAAAAAATACAAAAAAATACAAAAATTAAATAAACGTGAAAAGGAGCTAATGTTTCTTCATTTCCCCTCCCTTCCTTGTGTACCCTGGCTTCTCTCCTCTCCGAGCGTGTCTAGTAGTGGCTTTTCACCAGGGGACATAGGCCAGGCTGCCCCTTCCCTCACCTTCCATGGTGGGACAAGGTGGTGCAGGTCCTGTTCTGTGGTCCCACTCCCTGACACCCGTCCCGCGATCGTGTCCCAGTCCCAGTCCTTGATCCCGATCCCTGTCCCCGATCCCGCTCCCTGTCCCCGATCCCAGTCCCTGCCCCTTATCCTGGTCCTGGTCCTGGTCCCAGTCCTGGTCGTCGATTCCACTCCCTGTCCCTGATCCCAGTTCTGATCTCGGTCCCAGTGCTTGTTCCCGCTCCCTGTCCCCGATCCCAGTCCTCGTCTCGGTCCTCAATCCCACTCCCTGGCCCAATCCTCGATCCTGTTCCTGTCCCCGATCCCAGTCCAGGTCCTGGTCCTCAATCCTGCTCCCAGTCCCAGTTCACAGTTCCGGTCCTGGTCCCAGTCCCGATCCCTGTCCCCAATCCCGATCCTGGTCATCGATCCCGATCCCGGTCCAGGTCCTGGTCATCGATCCCGCTTCCTGTCCCCAATCCTGGTCCCAGTCCTCAATCCTGCTCCCTAGTCCCATTCTTTAATCCTGCTCCCTGTCCCTGGTCTTGGTTCCAGTCTCAGTCCTCTGTCCCCCTCCCTGTCCTAGATCCTGGTCCCTGTCCCTTATCCCAGTCCCACTCCTGGTCTCGGTCCTCGATCCCACTCCTTGTCCCTGATCTGGATCCCGGTCTCAGTCCCGGTCCTGGTCCCGGTCCCCAATCTGGATCCCAGTCTCAGTCCCGGTCCTGGTCCCGGTCTTGGTCCCCGATCCCAATCCCGTCCCAGTCCTGGTGGAAAAGGAGGGAAAACCTTGGCTGGTTCTCACTAGCCCTTTGCCATCTAGTGAACGCACCAAGAGAAGTGGGGCTCTGCCCTTTCCTTACCCACCGAGAGCACCCTTCCCTTTCTTGGTCGCGCAAGAGCCCGGCTCCGAATTCGAAAACCTCCAGCGATTCCTCCCACACTAAAAGCCGCAAGAGAAAAAATCTTACTGGTTCTCACGAGCCCTTCACTATTTACCCAGTAAACGCACCTGCAAACGTAACCTGTGCCCTTTCCTTTTTCACCTGACGCTCCCTTCACTTTCTCAGTCATGCAAGAGCCCAGTTCCAAGTTTGAAAACATCCAGTGATTTCTCCCAAACCGAAGGTGCCAGGAGGGAAAGCCTTGGCTGGTTCTCACTAGCCCTTTACCATTTCCTCAGTAAATGTTCCAATAAAACGTTGCCTCTGCTTTTTCCTTCTTCTCCTAACGCACTCTTCACTTGCTCACTCACCCAAGATTCCAGCTCTAAAATTTAAAAGATCCAGCAGATCTTCCCACATAAAAAGGTGCCAGGAGGGCAAGTATTGGCTGGTTCTCACTAGCCCTTGGTAAATGCACCAAAATACTGAGCCTCTGCCCTTTCCTTGTTCACCTTATGCTCTGTTTACTTTCTCACTCATGCTAGAGCCCGTCTCCAAATTTGAAAAGATCCAGCAATTCCTCCAAGACAATATGTGCCAGAAGTTAAAGCCTTGGCAGGTTCTCAGTAGCCCTTTACCATTTACTCAGTAAATGCACCAGTAAAACTGGGCTTCTGCCTTTCTTTATTCATGGTGGTCCATGGGTTAAGCGAATTCTATTTTATTTGTTACATGGTTTTGTCATGTTGCTGTTTTTCCCATCTATCATTCCACGTTTTATACAATTAATTCAACGTGTCGTAGCTAAGATGCAATTTGTGACTACTGCTTCACCTGATGGCGTTAAAGAAATTTGTGCTGTGCACCAAACCACGCCGTTCGTGATACAGATTATATAAAATATTTGAAACCACCAAGGGTCCATAGGATGGTGCAAGACCTAAGTCTGGGACAGAAGTTTCTAGACCCAAACCACACCTGCACTCTGGACAGGAGGCGAGGAAATCAATTTATTTGCTGCACATGCTGACCCCGACTCTAACAGATCAGGGCAGCAGGCCATGTGGACCACAAAGGCAGAATTGTTTGGCTTTGTATCACCAAAGTCAAATGGCACTTCTTCCTTCATGCCCTGCTCTCCTCCTCTCCCTCCCTTTCCTCCAGTGTCAGATGTCTTTTAAATTTCTCCCCACTTTGCCTATTCTCTGTTTTTTTCTATCCTTTTATTTTACTCAAACTCTCTATTTCCCTTTTCTTTTTCAGGAGACAGCTACGCACCCTTTTGGCAACTTCGGCAGCTTTTTCCTGGACTTTCAATTCCAGTGCCAGCTGGGGTCAGGAGGTGTTAAAACCAGAGCCCAGGAAAATCTCTGTTGTTTTGGCTGCTCTGGGAAAACTAAGCAAACCCAGCACAACCAGTTACCTGAGTAAAAAGGCGTAGACAGCAGCCCCGGTGGCACTGGTACACGAAACCTAGCATGAGGTTGTTTCATGCCCCAAGCAGAGCTTTCACAGAGGTTGCACAAGGGAAGGTTCAGTCACATTGTTGGAGGAGGGAGTAGGAGCAATGAGGACCCTTTGTCCTGCTGCCTGCTGGTTTCTACAGTAGGAGCATGCTGCCGGTGTGGTTCAGCACACTGTCTTGGCTGGTTGAGGCACTACAAATACTAAATGTTTTCCCCAGAGTGACAGAGTGACTTCCTCTGTCCTCCATATCATAGCCTATGGAAGTACACAGAGAAAGCTTGCACAAAGAAAAGGTGCCTGAAAATCTTTATTTTTTGCTAATTTTTGTATGTCCAGTTCCAAAACAGAAGAAAGTGATGAGGAGAAAAAGCAGGTTACACAGAACTAGATTGTCTCAGTTGGCAGCTATAGTTTCTTCGATCCAGGAGACGTAGTTGCAAACCTTAGTGTAAACCCCGGGATAGCCTTCCTCCGCACATCCATAACCCCAGGAAACAATGCCCTGGAGCTCCCCGTCGCAGACGACTGGACCGCCGGAATCGCCCTGTGTAGAAAGAAGGTGCAGATATTCAACAAACGGTGTCAGCGTAAGCGATGAGCCAGAGATCTCAGAAATCACTGGCGTTCAAGGGAGCTCCATTGGGCTTTCACTCCACGGAAGTTCTACAAAGGTCATTTCTGACCACCACTTTACCCCGATGCTCCTCTGCCTTACTTTAGCTGTGAGGGCACCCCAGCTAAGGATGAGTTCAGCTGGTGTTTTCTGATGGATGCGGTCCTTGGTAGACACTTAGGATACGCGTGTCTTAAACATTATTCTGCCAAATATTTCCATGGAGCTAGACACATGTACAATGCAGAACAATTGTCAGGTATGTTCATTTTCCAGCCTGCCTGGATCTTGGCATACTGGTTATTTCATTTTAGGTGGGTCCAAAACTAACATTTACATCCTAAGCTCCAAAGTCACCGTGATGACTATTGACTTGCTGGTGCAGCACTCCTCCAGTTTCCGTAGACTAAGTATGAGGAGATGGCATAGTCTGCTCGTGGAGATTTAGGACAGAGGTATTCACTGTCTCAAAAAAGGGACATGGAGTGGCAAAAAAACCTCACTTGGCAAGCAACTTTCACCCAGTCTCTGCCGTTGTTCAAAAAACCAACATTGAGACACGCCAGTGCAGTGAGCAGAGCAGATTCTCTAATAGGACAACCTCTTCTACTAGCAAAAGGCAGCAGAGAAACATATGGGAAAGGAGAGGTAGACTTTTCACCTGGCAGGAGTCTTTCCCTCCCTCCAGGTATCCCACACATATCATGTTATCTGTGATGTCCCCAGGGTAGGCTGCGCTGCACTCGCTTGCAGAGAGAACGGGAGCGTTCAGGCACTGCAAGGTGTCGGGATACAGATCTGCAACAGAGTAGAGAGAGAGTTAATGACATCTCTGAGCTCATTCAGAGCCCAGAGGAGATCTTCCTTAGCAGAGAAGTAATCATGGGACATCCTGTTCTGGCAGTCATGGTTTTTCCTCTGAACAGAAACCACAGCATTGGACACCTTTTGTTTAGATGGAACAGATTCTACCCGTGGATCCAGTGCTCTACACTGCAGCCACGTTAAGTTTTCTGATACCCAGAAACCTTCGTCAGTAGGCAAGTGTGGAGCAAAGAGCTACTCTTGTGCTGGAGGAAACCTGGACCTCAGGAAAACCATCCTCTCCTCTGGTGCAGGATTAGCTGTTGTCAATGGATTAGACACCAGTGACCATCTGCACCTCTGACTGTTGGTGTAAGAGAAGAGTTCTCTTGTAGTAATTTTAGATCCCCAGTCACAGATTTTGATCTTGTTCTCAGAGAACTGATAACTCTATTGACGTGGCTGAAAGTGCTGGTGCTTGGCACTGCACAGCTGATAGCATCAGGCCACCAAATTTATGGCAGTGTGAACGTCCTGGTGGATGGCTCATGGGTGGCTTAAGTGATTCCATGTTCGTAACACAGAACAAGAGGGAGGACTTCATAAAGGCTGATGTTTAAAGCAGTTAAGTGGTTACTGTTCTACACAGACTGATCACTGACATAGTCCTGTCCCACAGCACTTCTATTCCCAAAAAGTACTCACAGCCATTGCTGAGGGTGTTGCCCCAGCCAGAGATCAGGCACGTGGTGCCCGCAGCCACGCAGCTGGTGGGCAGAGGAACTGTGCTGACAGCGCGGCTGAGCTGGGCGGATTGAGAAAGCTTGATGAGCATGATGTCATTGTCCAGGGTCTGGGAGCTGTAGCCAGAGTGGCGGATGACTTTAGATGAATAAATCGACTGCTGTGTTGACTCTGTAAGTGCCAGGTTATGTTTCCCAAGCAGCACTCGGATGCGACTGGAAAAGAGAAGGAATGGCATATAGTTTACTGGTGCCGACACGTTATGAGGGACCTCCCTGCCACTGTATGCACTTGCTTCAACATGGCTGTTGTAGTAGCTGTTTTCATGCAGGTTATCTTTCTTGTCCTGCAACAAGCCCTGGGGATCTGCACTGAGATCTTATGCCCTCCCAGCACAGGTGGTGAATTTCTGCAGGTTGATTCTGTTGAGCTGGGACAAGTCAAATATAGAAGAGTGCTTTGCACGAGCAACCTGGAAAAAGGCAAACTGCTGTCACCCTGATCTCATTCCTCTTCCTGTTCTCCACTGGGTGAGTTTTAGCAAGATTAATGCAATTTATAAGAAGTCATAGCCCATAACTCATTGCTAGCTCATCACATTGTCATTTCAGAAAGTGCTCTGCATTCACAGAAACATTTGCAGAAGTGG